GTGGTGGGCAGTGGGGTTGTGGTGGGCAGGGTGGTTGTGGGCTTTGGCTTGGCCGTGGTGGGCAGTGGGGTTGTGGTGGGCAGGGTGGTTGTGGGTTTTGGCTTGGCTGTGGTTGGTAACGTGGTTGTGGGTTTTGGTTTGGCTGTTGTGGGCAGTGTGGTTGGAGTTTTGGGTTTGGCCGTGGTGGGCAGTGAGGTTGTGGGCAGTGTGGTGGTGGGCTTTGGTTTGGTTGTAGTTGGTAGGGTGGTTGTGAGCTTTGGCTTGGTTGTGGTGGGCAGTGGGGTTGGCAGCTTTGGTTTGGCCGTAGTTGGTAGTGTGGCTGTGGGTGTTGGCTTGGCCGTGGTTGGTAGAGTTGCTGGTGGTTTTGGCTTGGCCGTAGTGGGCGGCATGGCTGGGGGCTTTGGCTTAGCTGTGGTGGACAATGTGGTTGGTGGTATTGGCTTGGCTGTGGTGGGCAGCGTGGTTGTGGGTGGTTTTGGCTGCACTATAGTGGGCAGCGTGGTTGTGGGTCGTGGCTTGGCTGTGGTTGGTAGCATGGCAGGTGGTTTTGGCTTAGCTGTGGTGGGCAGGGTAGCTGTGAGTGTTGGCTTGGCTGTGGTGGGTAGTGTGGTTGTAGGTATTGGCTTGGCCGTGGTGGGCAGRGTGGTTGTAGGTGGTGGCGTGGCTGTAGTGGGCAGGGTGGTTGTGAGTGGTGGCTTGGTTGTGGTGGGCAGTGTGGTTGTAGGTATTGGTTTGGCTGTGGTGGGCAGGGTGGTTGTGAGTGGTGGCTTGGTTGTGGTGGGCAGTGTGGTTGTAGGTATTGGTTTGGCCGTGGTGGGCAGGGTGGTTGTGTTTGGTAGTGTGCTTGTGGGTTTTGGCTTGGCTGTGGTGGATGGGCTTGTCTTTGTTGTCACAGAGGATGTAGTGGTCTCTTCTACAGTGGGTTCTGGTAAGAGATGGAAAGTGCCACGGGTTAGCACTAGTCAACTGAACTCAACTGAATCCCCCCACTGCTGAGTGGGGTCCACAGAAATCCTCTGCAAGGAGAAGCAGTAGCCAACCCCTCTCTCAAGTCACTCTGAGATGACTCGCGTCCCAAGCTAGAGATGTCTCATCTGTCTCACACAACATGCTGCAGACCTCCACAGACCTGTCCCTTAGGGATGGAGCATTCTCCAGGGCCAACAATATTTGGCTGGGGGGCTACAAGGTCTTTGTTCAATCTCCTTGTCTGGTGGCAGCAGACCTGTCTCAGGGCTGCCATCACACATCCATGTATCTGTGGAGCTGACAGCCCAGGGCTTTCTGGTGGCTCCAGGTTGGTTCAGATCCTGGACCCAGCCCGAGTACCCTCAGTCCCAATAGCTTATCTAGACCCACACACTACTTCACTTACCACACAAGGAGTCAACACACAAGGTCCCCTCTGGGCACTGGGAACACGAGGCTCCTTCCTTGTACGGCTTTCGGCCTTTCATGTTACCCCTGGAAGCAGAAAGAGGCCACAAAAGGCTGTGAGAAAGGAAACACCCATCCCGCAGAGAGCATTTGACTGGACTGAAACATTCCCGCTAGGATGAGACAAAGTTAATGTAAAAAGAGGTCTTGGTCCCCTGCCACCTTGACTGCTAACACCATGTACTCAGTGGCCTCACTCCCCARGCCCACTGAAATCAGTTCCAGGAGCTTCAGCAGAAGGAGAACCAAATCTTTTACTACTGCTAAGCGCAACTGATAGGCTTCTGGGACAGTGATTTTTGTCTCCCTCTACTGAACACCCTCAGGAGCATCTGCAAGGACAGACTCCTAGCAGGGCTTCCAGCTGCCTCCAACCAAGGGAGCTTTGCCCTCACGCAGCAAGCGAGCACCCGTCCCTCCTTCAGCCTCCATCCGTTCAGCACAGCCTGCTGGGCTGAGACTGGTCCCACCCTCTGCCACGTTTGCTCCTGGCAGGGTCAGAGCAGAGAGCTGCCCTTTTCTACCCTCGGTTCCTGCAGCGTCAGCCCCGGGCAGCTCTCCAGAGGGGAGCTCCCTCCATAGGTCTGTGCCAGGAGCCGAAGCAGGCTTCAGGAATTGCAGTCATGGGCAAGGATCACCAGACAACCCTTCCTTCCTTTGTGACCAACCTAAAACAACAGAAGGCCGCCTGAGAATGGGTTTGCTGCTATTTCTGAGCACAGCTCAACGCTTTTCCTGTTGTGTTACAGGGACGTTTCCAGTAAAGAAACCCAGTCAAGATGGCATCGAGCAGAGTGAAACAAGGAACTTACGGGGGGTAATAGTTGCAAACRAGCAGGTACATGTCCTCTGTTTCAATACCGTCGATCTTTGCACAGAATTTCACCCCGCAGCCGATACGATGCGTGCTTGCCCAGACCACCTAGGGCGAGGACCAAAGAGGAACGTTAGGTGACCAGTTGCAGGCGGGTGCCCTATTGGCAACCTGCTCCATGGCCTTCAAAGCTGCGCTGTCACCGCACCGCTGTCCCCCTCGTTTCTTTGTGTGCACCCCAGATCCTACAACCTTGTGCTGCGTTTGCAGTCAGGATCCCATTCCTTGCTCCAAATCCCATAGCCTAGGCCTACAGCCTCACATATCCAGGTGACGTCCAGCTTTCCTACCATATCATCCATCCAGGCAAAGCACCAACTGCATTGTAGCCTGGGAATCTCCATAGGGCCATTCTCACATTTATCATCACTTTTATCATCACTTTTAGCATTATTCTGCTCCTCACTCCCACCTTTGCATCCCCCCCAAAAAACAGAGCTGGCAAGATGCACTCAGACCTGTCTCTGCCCAAAGCAGCAGATACCAAGCTCTGCCAAGTAGAGAAAACGGGCTGCAAAGACCATTTAAAGAGGTCTGGTCTGAAAGGCTGGTCATAGCTAGAACCATGCCCAGGTTCCCGTCCCTTTCTGTGCTTCCTACATCAGCCCTGCTCCCACATCCTTTTGCAAAAGCCGTGGGAGAAATCTGGCTCTTGTAGAGCTCTCCTGTCATGAACTGGGCCCTCTGCCCCCCGTAGCCCCGTACCTGGGTGTAGTGGCCACACATCTGCCCAGGGGCACACGTGGTAGTCGTCAAGTTGTAGAACTTCTCCTCCCCATTCCAGTCTTCCACAGCGAATTCCAGATCCAGCGTCGGGGTCATAGCGAAGAGGTTTTCTCCTCGCCGGCCCCTCTCCTTGTTGTGGTCCCAGATGCACTTCTCTGCGTACGCTTGAGCAAAGGCCTCCAGCTCTGCGTCCCAGCTCTGAAAGGAGCTCAGCATCAGCGATCCGAGAAGGACCCTGCCGGGTTCCTTGGGCTCTCGGACAAGGRCACACCTGCGACTCCCTCCCTGGCGTGGCAGGAATGGGGATGAAGCCCTGGGCCTTTGCACCACGACTCCCCCATCCAGGAGGGAAATTGAAACCCCAGAGCAACATGTGGGTCTCTCTTAGTGCCCTCGGAAAAGCCTTCAGATGAAGGGAGCAACTTGGGCAACTCCAGCACGAACTAAACCTCAGCCTATAAATCAGGGTAGAGCGAAGCAGCAGCACAAATCTGCAACCCTTGTGTAAGAAGCACACATTCCGCTCCCTTTGGCACCATGAACAGGGTACTCATGTCTGCAGGATTTGCCTCATTAAAATAAAATAAGTCGCTTTAGGCCATGTATCCCTCATGGGGTGAGCGATTTCCACAGCAACCAGAGCCGAGGCCCAAACAGAAGCGTGGGGTGACCTAAGCCGGGCTTGGTGCCACGGCAGCAGGTGAACGCAGAGGCAGAGGCAAGGACGGAGCCAGGGAACGGTCCCAGGAGGGCGGCGTTTTCATAGAAAACAGACACCGAGAAACCGTCGGGGCTGTTTTACACTGCACATGTGTTCCCCCCTAGAAAACCACGTCCACTCTGGAGCATCATCAGGTCCCCTATGGTCTATTAGATCCCACTAAGCTCCAACGCGGCTCCCGCAGGGGAGAGTATCTCCAAAGGCACTAAAGGTCTGTAGCCAGGTCTGTCGCTTGTTCAGGACTGCCCTCAACCTAAGGAGCCTGACCCACRTTTTGGACACGTAAATGTTTGCTTTTGCTAAGACGCTGCCCCTAAGCCCTTGTTCCCTGAGTGTGGCGTGCCTTGCTCTGGGGGGTTTCCATGGGAAATGCTGCAGCGGGTCCTTGCCACGTTCCCTTTGACTTTAAAATAATCACCTGCCAGACTCCGTATGCCTGAACTTAGACTTTTTTGCTTTCTTCCTCAGGAAAAYTCCTACTAACCAGCTCACCAACTTGTAACTCAGTCTTTGCAAGCTGCAGGCCGTACAGGGAGGTCTCCTCCAAGTGCCCTGTCACTGAAAGAGCTAACTCTGCAGCTAGCTCTGATCAGCACTAGTGCTCCTCCAAACRCATTGCAAAAAAATAATCACACGAGGTGCAAGATGAACACGGCAATCACACTGAATCAACTCAAGGGGCCAGGCAAACCAAAAACCAGCCCTGCCTTAGGGCTTTCCTTGGCTCCCACAGCAGCRACAAGTGATGCTAGGCCCATGCCTCAGTTTCCTCCAGCAAAACAGGACCTCCCTCATAGCCCGGGCAAATACACGCGGGAGAACAGAAGCAACAGTGTAATCTGCAGTTCAGGTTGGAATTTGGCATCATCTCCTATAGGTTAAAGAATCATTCACCTGCAAAGGCAAATAAAGCGCACCCCAGTCCCTCCTTGCACGAAGACAGAGGCTTGGACTGGACAGACACCCGTGGACATTTCCCTGCAGCAAGAGCAACTCACCATCTTCAGCATATCCATAGCAGGAGGAGAGACCTGGGAGCGGAATTTGTTGTGCCCATCCACGATGATCTTCTTTTCTTCATCACTCAGGGCGCAGCCGAGCTCCAGTGCTGCGAACAACAGGAGAAGGGGGAAGAGCCCCGAGCTCAGCATCGTGCAGCCACAGCTTCTGCTCTTAGCAGCCCACGGCTCTGGCAGCTGGATTTAAAGCACCTCCCAAAAGCAAGGAACACCCAACAGCTTGAAGACTGGGGAGGAAACGTAGTTCTTTAGGAGAGTGGTCCCGGAGCCACACGGAACACACCCATCTCACATAGCAGCCTCGACAGAGCAGAGCAGCAGCTCTTGCCGTGCCAGCGCGCGTGCGAGGGTCCCCTCCCCGCCACGGAGCCGCTCCGCGCGTGGTTATCCCTGCAGCCTCCTCCTGGACCTGCTGCTCGTGGCTTTAGCCTTCAGCTGTGGGGTCTCCTTACCTCCCGCCCCTCCTCTCTTAAAACTGGAATAATAATCCTGAGCAACTGGCGAGCAAATGCAAAGCCCTGTCGTGCACACGGGTCCCCCGCTGTGCTGCGGACTCTGGAAGGAGGCAACGAGAGGCAGCGGCCGAGCGGTTTGCAGTGTCCTAGCTGCCCAGCCGGGAGTCAGAGCTCACCACGGCTCTGCCCCTGGATCTCCGTGTTGGTCCCAGCRGGGGGAAAGGCAGCTGGATACTGCGCAACAGCATCCTTGGATCTCCGCCAACCCTGTTGGGAAGGGGGGTGGTCCCTTCCCCACGGCCTGGTGAGGAGAGGGTGAACAGGACCCAGAGCCAAAATCGCCCCAGAAAGGGGAGCTGAGGGAGACAAGGTGCCCCCTTTGGCTCTGGCTGGAATAACGAGTGATGCTGCAGGGCCTGGCCGTGCACCAGCTCCTCCGGACACCTGGAGGGCTCCACATCAGGGCCCTGAGTCACTCAAGGCCCCGACTACCTTGGAGCCCGTCTGGCAGAGACCTTCCCGCCTGCGTCTCGTCCTCCCCATCTGCGATTGTGCAACTGCCCCGGCCCTGCTCCAGGAGCTGCCTTTGGGGAGCCTGCCTCGTTAAGGAGGATCAGCGGGTGGGCAGCTTGGTTAGCAGGGCCAAGTTAATCACACCGTCTGCTCTGCCTCCTCCGTCCCCTCCCTTCTCCCCACGTCCTGCTCCACRGTCGTTTCCCTTCCGCTTTGGACAACATTGACAGCTCTGCTTGCCCCCAAACCTCCTACCTCTGCACATTATCTCCTCCTTCATGAAGCAGCGAGGTCCGGGGTCTATCTTGCTCCCAGTCGTCCATCGGTTTCTGTAAGCAAGGCCCAGTCGTGGTATCCCGCCAGGCCACCTTCAACTGATCTGCTCAAGCCAGCGGGTTCCCACTCAGCGCTGAGGTCAGCGGCAGGCCGGGCGTCTGAGTCAGGGCAAACCTGCCTCCATCAGCAGACATTGACAGCTCTGCTGCATCTCTGGAGACTTGCATGAACAACTGGAAAACACCACTGCGCTCTCCAGAGCCTTCACTACGGCCCGGCTGGTGTGAGGGACGAGGCAACACCGGGAAAACTTCGGTTCACRCACTGGTGTCTGCAACTGGGAGCAGAGATGGAGCAGCAAGCTCCAAAAAAAGGGGAAGAACCAGCCTGGCCCAAGCACCACAGCATCCCACCCAGCCTCTGAGGAGCTAAGACAGCACCAAGCACCAGACACGGGACACATGATGCTCCCAAGGAGGCAAAACAGACCTGGAAGAGTCACGATGAGGGCATGTGGCCTGCGGGGCAGTGACACTCAGGTGGGGCAATGTGGGACACAGCCGGGGTGCTCAGCAGGGTCAGGAGCAGCGCTCGGTGGAAGCAGCTCGGGACGATCTCTCAGCTCCCCAACCTGCCCCAGCGGCTCTTTCTGGAGCCAGCAGCCCAAGCACCAAGACTAACTGAGCAAGGTCCAAGCTCCACCCTCGTGTCCAGCCGGCATGAAGTAAGCGTGCGAGGAATGCAGCAGCTCTTCTGCTCAACCAAGAAACAGCCTGTCATGCACTGCAACCCCAGGGACCCGGCAGCTCCAGCACACGGCCCACGAGCTCCACACTGGTACCTGAGGGGGGGAAAAGGGGTCCACCCGATGCCCGTGGGCTCCATTAAGCCCGAAAGTTGGAGGTGCAGAAGCAACAGAGCCCCCTTTTCTCCCGACTTGCATCTCGAGGGTCTTCAACGTGGCTCCTCTGGTGACTAACAAGGCTAACACGCTGTCCTGATAGCAACATGATCTCTCTCTCCTCTCCTTGCCTGTTTTTATGAACTCTGGAAGAACTTGTCATCTTCTAATCAGGGCTTGAGCGAAACAAGCTAATTATGAAGAGACTTATTAGAAAGGCAGGAGGGACAAGCAGAGCTCTTGCATCAACTTTGCTCGGGGAAACCGGCTAGAACTGGCAAAGCATTTGTTGCTTTTGACATATTCCAAACAAAGGGATTCCAGCTTTCTCTTAAAACAATATTGACACTTAGAAAAAGTGCACAAGCAAGCGTAAAACACCCCCAAAAACAGTTTAACARTGAAAAACTAGAAAAGGGGGAAAGGGTGCATTAATACTTCTATTGAATTGCAAAAAGTAAAAACTTTTTTTTTATTCCTCTTACATACAAATCTCATTTATTTACACACTTTACAGGCTTTTTTCAAGTATTTACAAAGTTTGCAATATATTAAATTATGACCATCCATAAAACTCTCCATTAATTGCATATTTACATTCTTTTTTTTTTTTAACCCACCACTGAATTTATAGTGTACAGAATTGAAACAGTCTTTATGCATATATAGCTTTACTTCCCAGCACCCCTGAGCCTTTTTATTCTGCCTCCCTTCCCCATAGACAAAGAGATACCGTTGAAAATAAACCAACGGTCACTTGCCAGCATCTCCAAAGCAAAAGGAAAGAAGGAAAGCATCTCCCTTGTTCAACTCAGCAGGACAGTAAGTCTGTCCTTTGCAAGGAGTTTCCTTAAGAGGAGACTATAGAGCTGTAAATGTGAAAAGGTTGGTCTCCAGGAAGCGAGCGCTCTCCCTACACCTGCCGAAACTGCCTCCTGACCCCCAAAAGTGCTTGGTGGGTTCCTGGGGGGGCCATTGAGCTCAAGGGGAGCCAAGGAGCCCGGGAGCAGAGCAACCCTGCCRGCCTCGCTCCCGGGAGCGGAATTACTGATGGGAGCAGGAAAGACTTAAGAGCTTGCTCACCAAAGGGGCGCCTTGCGGAGATGTGGGCAGGATCTCCCGTCCTCCAGCTCCTCTTGCGGTGCCTTCTCCCACTGAGAGGGAGCAGAAGAGGGGTGCAAAAACCCCTTTTACTTGCTGCAAAAAGAGGGGTGGCATTTGCTGCTCAGCAGCCAGGGGCGAGAGGGGAGCTGCTCAGATCCAGCCTGGCAGTAAAACCATTTTCTTTGCCAGCCTGGTACAGCAAGAGAAGCTAAAGGCCTGCGACCCCAGGGAAACCTCGTCCTGCAGAGCTCTCCTGGGTGCTGCAAAGGGATCTTGAGGCTGCAATGGGGATCCCAGCGGGGATTTCTGTGTGCAATATCAGTGACAACTCCAGAGGAACCGGGAACTGAGCCCCCATARGAATGGTGATTTCCTGGTACCCAAGGAGGCAATATATACTCCTTCCTCTGCCTTTCCAGTCACCCTGAGTTCAGGAGTCACCAACAGCAAGTCAATGACCTGTTTTTGGAAACCAGCTCTAGACCACAACGCTGTTACCCATGGGGCAGCCCATCTTTCCACACCGACCGGTTCAGAAACGATCCTTCCACCTTCTCTGCCCATGAGCTTCTCGGGCAGTACCAATTTCTGAGCTCGATATTCAYAGCAGCTGCGATTTCATAGCAGCTCTGCAGCCTCTGGGCTGTGAGCTGCCTCCCAGCTCACCGGCCAAGAGCTCGGAAGCATCCAACAGATCCCAAAAGACAGGATGCCCAGTTCAGCTGGGCACTTCCTTGAGCTGGCTAGGGTGGGGGATTGTCTAAAACTGGCACTTGTGCATATAGAAAATGTGTTAATGAAGCTAGAGGCGAGGGAGACAACATGACGCTCGCCATCTGTGACTCATCACGTTTTGTCACCGCGATGCCCTGAAAGTAAATAATCACATTCTCTCCATTTGGTTCAAACCTCAGTGGATCACCAGGAGGTGGCTGGCTCTTTGGGAAGAGCAACAGCCTCTTGTAGCCTTTGGAAAGGCTGAGCAAAGCTGAAGCCCCAGAAAAAGACCTGCTGGGAGCAGGCAAGGTGGCCAARGGCTCACTTGCAGCCATTTGGCTATGATGTGAAAGCTGCTTTTTGCATTGCAAAATGCAAATGCAAAGCCCACGCTGCAATACAAAAGGCATCTGCACTAACTCCTCTGGCAGCTGAAAACAGGAGCTGCTCTAGAAGCTGCGCTGCAGGTTGGGGTTCCGCACTCAACAGCGGCCACGGCCAAGATCAGCTCTTTATCAGCAGGACAATTGCCCTCCTGTTTTAGTTTAGCAGCTAATTCCTTACAGGTTTTGGAAGAGGAAGGGAAAATATACTGGAAGTTTAAAAACAAATGATGTAAACTCCAGAGGGAGCAAGGTTGGGACATATGCAATGTATCGCCTAGACACAGATCTGGAAACTTAGGCAGAGACCATAAAGTGCACTTGGAAAGCTGGTCCGCAAACAGTCCAGACTCACCATCTTCAGTCCAACCAGCTGCAACACGTTGAGCACAGGAGAAGCCATAAGGGAGAGCACTTCTAAGGGGGCACAAACCTGCCCTGGAACCCTCCCCAGTCCAAACAGCAACTGCAAATAGATCAATTCCCTCTGCTTCTTCCCCAAAGCAGCCAAGCAGCCCCAGTGCCTTAAGTGCGACTCAAGAGTGACTCTCAAACTACAGACATCTCACAGACGTTGTCCCTGCAGCTCTTTTGCAAGTTACATTCAAGGACACTTCGAAATAACGGCATCACCAAACCACCCGCAATCTCCGTAGTAAAGGGTCCAGCAGGTTCTCCGTGTGCCTCACCAAGTACTTTACAGAAATGCATCAGGTACAAAACGAGTGAGAGGTGAAGTAACCCTGACTGCCTTTGGATTCAGCTTGAGCAGCTGCCAAAGCGTAAACAGCAACGGTCACTAACAGAGGACCTAATCCCACCATCGCTGCACTCCCGACTTTCCATTAACTAAGATCCAATCCACACTTTAAGAAGAGAGAAGAGGGGTGCGTGGCTCTTGGCATGTACAGCATTGCATGCAGTGTAAAACACACCCCAAGCAGTAACTACACTAACACAAATCTTATTAATCCAATTCCCTTTAAGACTGCTACCAATTAAATGAGTCCTTTCTCTGCTCTAAGAGAGTTAAACTCCCTCCCTTTGGTTCTGCTAGATCTGGTGCATGTTTGCCCARTTTCAAGGGCCAAACACACAGATTGACACGGTGCTGGGGGTGCTCTCCTCCCTTAACAGGAAAAACACAAGGGTTATGCATAGAAATGTTTGCAGTGTCAAGGCCTCCAACCAAATTGTTTGGAGCAGGAACCTCCTCTGTCTTATCTTTGCACGGGAGCCAGACGTGGTCATCCCATTTGGCAGCTTTTGCCAGACTCTACTAAGATTAATAAACACAAAGTCTGCTCCCATTCTTCTGGTCTCGATGAAAAACGCCTCCTCCCCTTCCCTCAAAAACTCCCATGGCTGGGGAGACGTTTTCCCACTCTGTCATTCCACATGTACGTAAAACACTTACAAAGGAAAAGGTCCTTGCTCCTGAGAACAGAATTCACTTGCTTTCAAACAAAACCCCTCCCAGTTCCATATTAACAAGTGTGAGAGGATGTCCTGAGCCCCAGCCCTGGCCTGGGAGTTCAGCCCGCCACATCTGTAAGCGATCTTCTGCAGCAGGACCAGACCCAAAGGATCAAACTTGGAAGGGCCCACAGCACCCGCAGCCTGTGGACACCAAAACGGAGCCTCTCTCAGGGCACTGCGCACAGCAGTGCTCAAGCAACAGGAAGCATGCAGAGGCAGCTTGGAAGGGACTCGGGAAAAACCACCATTTGCTCTGAACACAGGGTTTCGGGTCTGGAAGGAGTCGGTGCAAAACAAGCCAGGAATGAGGAAGCTTTCAGGTGCTGCCACATGGATCCCAGGCAGGAAATGTGGCCAGCACCTCTTCCAGCAAGGGATATATGAAAATGGATAAGCTGGTGCTTTAGGAGCACAAACGGATGACAAAACTTGTGAAGAGCTTCTCTGTACCTGGCTCTGTGTCCATTCAAAATGACTGCACTCTCAGCACCACGACCTGGCACCTGCCTTGGTATTTTTGCAGGAAAGGGGATGGGGGGGCAAAAAAAGCACCGTTTCCATCCAACTCACCTACAACCTCCTCATAGAGCAGCACAGAAGAGTGAGCACAAGACACAGAGAGGCCCCAACAGAGTCATTTGGTGAGAGGAGGATGCAGGGGAGGTCTCCGCTGTAAGGCTCGCTCCAGCCCGGGGGCACGGAGCCGAGATGGGCTCTGCAGGGCGCTCTGTTGAGGCACATGGCTACGGATGCAACAGAGAGACGGGGCAGAGKGGGGACACGTCACCAGTGCATTCCCTTTACACGGCAGCTCCAAGCCCAAGAGGCAGGAACACAGAAGTGTCACACACTCCCTGTGCCCCTACCCTTCCCAAAAGCTTCGGAAGTGCCACAATCCACAAAGGACACAAGGTGAATCTCATCCTGAGAAATTCCTCTGATGCTTCTGCAAAAAAAATCCTTAGCTGCAAACCCAGGGCATACCTGAGGGGACAGGGAAGGACACAAGCAGCTYGAGCTTCTCCCAAAAATTATCTGAGGAAAGGCAAAGATTTACCTTACAGGTCAGGAAAACAGTCATTTTGGAAACACTGTAAACATGCAGGGTGGCAAAGCTGCCTGCCCCATCGCCCTGGCTCGACYGCTTTCCAGATGGTGCTTTGGCTGCAAAGCTGAAAGTCTTCTTGTCCTGGAAGCAGCTCAGTTTTCCCTCCCCACCGTCCTTAGCTAGCAGCTCCATCGCAGACAACCGCAGGCTCTGTCCCTTTGGCAGTGAAGCTCATGGTCCAGTAATCCGCACTGGCGAAACCTTTGGGAGACGCAATGAGAAGGCCACGTTACATGAATTCATCCCCAGTTACTGCTCCCGCTCCCCACGATGTGATAGGTACACAGGAATTCCTTGAAAAGACACAGCCCTCCATGAGATGTTGCTTTTATAACACCCAGCAGAGCTTTAGTTGCCCCTCATGTTGAGGCTACTGCTCCATTTAGCCACTTCTACACTCAGCATCTCATGGCAGCACATTGATTGTGTTCCAGGCCACAAACTCCCAACCCAGAAACATCACTCTTCTTTCCCACTACCGAAGTGCTGGAAGCACACCCCGGTGTGGAGATGAAATGGCGCACACCATTTTCTTAGGAGTGAGATATAACAGATGCAGCTGGACACAGTCTTCCTGCTCCAAATGATCTCCCAGACCCTGCACGTTGCAATAGGCACTCACCGAAATCTCCAGCCTCCAGCTCCACCTCGAACATCTTGCAGTGTCCTCTACACTTGTCCAGAGGCACGACAGTTAGCGTGAGCTGTCCACTTCCAACAACAAACAGGCTGTGCAAACTGTAGCTCTAGGATGAGAGGACAGCATCTCAGAGGCCTTGCTGGCTTTTCTGGGGGCTGCTTGATCATAAGGGGGCAACTTGGAGCCTAACGCAAGGAGAATCAGTGCAAACCCCAGTTTGCTACTGCAGCTACCAGCAGACCATGACAAACTCTGGCTCAGCTGCATGCAAGTGTCCCCTCTTTGGTCCCAAGCAATACAGGCCCTTTACCTAGAAAACCCAYGTGAGGAGGAGGGAGAATATCAGGCTAGAAACCCCAATTTCCCTGGCACTTCTCCACGGCAGCTATCTCAAAATAGGTGAAACTGACTGCCAGGAGCAGCTAGGGGTGAATTTCTCACCTTATTCCCTAAATCTGGATGGCGGATGAGGAAGCAGCTCTCCAGAGACACTGACTTAGGGAAGGACAGTAGAGAGGAAGCGGGGAAAAATTCCTGCAGAATCCGAGTTTTATTCAGAGACTTGTTCCTTAAAAACAAAACAACAAATTAAAAAGAGATCACACTACGGTAATACTCATGTTTAAAAGACAAGACCCTTTTAGAAGGAGGAGACTGCAGCAGACACTAAATCAGTCCTGTGAGCAAAAAAATCTGCCTTTCTTAACCATGCGCTCCTTCCTGCCTTCTCCTCTTAGTACCTGCAGCACGACCACATATACGGAGAACAAGCAGGTCACTACGGATACCTAAACAATTTCTTTCCCTTCTTCCCTTGAAAACATTCTGAATCATTGATCATCTTCAACAATTACAACAGTGTGGAGAGGTGGCATCATCCACAGCAGTAACTGAAACCACATGGCAAGGCGGGGGAATCCAAATCTATTTTCTAGGCCAGGGAACAAGACGGGAACAGGCAGGGTGGGGCTTGTTATTTTTACAGTTCTGATGAGTGGCTTAGCATGATTAATAGTTGTGTACCACGACCATCCACCTTCAGGCGCCGTGGCTGAAAGTCACCCCAAAAACTATCTGAAGCCTCAGCCCAATTACTGACCCCATTGTGCTTTTCTYCAAGCCGGCGCCCTGCGTGACAGAGGTGGCACTGCACAGGACAGGACCGTCATGCAAGCGCTGCACCAAATGTCACCTTCCTGCATTACTTTATATGCAAAGTCTTTGCTAACACGTTGAGTTGCTCCATAGCCTTAGAGAGCTCTGAACTGTTAAAACGTTTTGTATCCTCAAGAAGTTTCAGCGTGGTTCTGAGAGGGCCAGGGTTAAGCGTGACTAATTTCGTACAGAGACCAAACAGAAACAGCGGGAGCCTCTGACCTTTGTTTTGCAGAAGTCAAAATACGGCTCCTTAGCCAAAGCTAATGGCAGCTGATTCCCACTGAGAACCTGTGATTAATCACCTGATTAATCACATTAGAAATGGAAACCATTTGCCCCAGGTGATCAGACCACAATCTAGATAATCAGTGTATGGATTGAAGAGCAGGACCAACCAGTCACTGGGATATTTCTGTCTTGTAAAAGGAGCAGTATATGAAACCCCAGCACAAATCAAATCACCTTCATAGAGAAGCCTTCCACTTGAATCCAGGCAGTGCCAGGAGGTGGACAGAAATCTGTACTCTGTTCCTTTTCCCTTTTCCCTGTAGTTGAAGTGCAACTGGTTAAGTTATTCATACAGGCAAATCCTGGGCATTCCTGCAAAAGGGAAGTGTCCGTCTGCTGCGTGCTTTGTCTTTGACTCACCAGGGAAAGAAAAACGGGAAGCTCTGTCTTGGAAGGCAGCTCCACAGCTCAGCTGAATGTTCTTCTATTATAACCTCTGCCAGTTCTGGGTCCTGGGACTGAAAATGCTTTAGCTCTTCATAAGAAAGATACTGTCCTGTCTTAAACAACAAAAGACAGCAGGATAAAAMCGCGGCACCTGGGATTTTTCTCCTCTCCCATTTCCCCCCCGCCAAAGAGGATGCAACAGTGACACCACCGAGCTCAGCACACTCCTAACCACAGTTAATTAATTATTAGTTTCTAGACTAATCATCTAGCCCTACGAATCCATTACCTTCACTAGAAAAGGCTGAGACGTCTGGAGCTTTTCTGATACTTCTCCGAAGTCTGCCACTATCGGGAGGCTCCTCACAGCAGAGCAGGCTGTGCAGTTTGCAGCAAGYGCGGAGCTGTTCTGCCGGCAGCCTGCGGCCCACCAGTCCTGGCATTCTTGGAAGGAAACAGGAGAATCACATTTAATGAGGCAAAAATCGAAACGGAAAGGAGACAGACTCTGCGATTAAATCATTATCCCAAACACTAAACTCTAAACACTAAACATAGTAGTTTTCAAAAAACTACTATGGAGCAAGTGTGACTGGGAACTCTAATTAGAGAACATTTCTAGCACAGGCTGAAGATCTTGGAGATACCATTTCTGGGTGAAAAGTCTGTGTTTTGCACTGGACAAACCCCCAAAGCCCTGTAGATGGTCTACAACACATGGAAGGTTGATGGAGAACAGGAAATTTCACCAAAATGTGCTGCTGGCAAATCCATTCGTTGCATGGATTTGCTTGGGAGCTAAAATGGGAAGAAAGTGCTGTTATCCTGCAGTCAATGGACTGGCCTTCATCAAACACTGCACGTGTTTACATTGCCAAAAGTTAGATTTCCCTGTAAAATAATTACTTGAAGCCAATATCTGTCCTCCTTCCCCTAAATTAACTTCTTGTGCTGGGAGAGCTGCTAAGTAACATTAAGACCATCAACTGAACGGTCCAAGGAAGGACGTTGCTGAGTGCCCCACATATTTCTACATTAACAGATCCGCAGGAACAACCGAGGGGACKCAGCTCTTATTAAACAACAGTGACAACTCTGGCGCCAAAGCTGTACTTCTGCATGGGAATTAAACTGGGAAAGGGCAGGAAACCCACCCAAATTCAAGGGGAAGGCAAGAAAAATCAACCCTTCATGCAGCCTTCCCCAGGGGTTCCCATTTCCAGCCRCGCTAGTGCTCGGTGCGAGGGTCACTATCAGTAAGTGCTGCTTCCTAGGAGAGCATGTTTTATTTTCCTTCTGACATCTGCAGCAGGCAGCAGTGGTACAGAGCATTAAGGTTCATCGGGACATAACGGCAAAGCAGCAGTTCAGGATTTATTTTGCTTTCCACTCTCTCAATATCGCCAGTCAGCTCCGAACTGCTGCATTTCCCCTCCTGCTGCTGGGATTCAGACTGAAAAGGATCAGGATGCAACTCCTAGTCTCGCTGGAAGATGCATCCACGCTRTTTTCAAAGGGCAGAAAAGGCAAAAAAACAAAGTGTAAAATTCTAACTGCAAGCACCAGTCCCACTCCCATGAGAAAGTGCTCCAACGAACTTTCCCTCCCTGCTCACAAGAGCAAAAAGAAGATCTTTGTTCCCCCGGCTGTAGAAAGAAATTTTACAACAACAAAAAACCCCTCAACTCACAGAAAACAGCTGGTCATGGGCAGGGAACAAAAGGCTGAAAGATCTCACCGGGGAAGGGCAGTCACCATAAAGGGGAGAACAAGACAACATTGCTTACGGTCTGCAGTGACACCAGGATGAACAAGACAATAATTTGCTTCCAGAGGAAAACTTAAGAAACATCGTCCATGAGGATTAAGTCCCTAAAATTTTCTCCCCAGGCTCAGGGTTGTGACCCCCAAAACAGGATGCTAATCAGCTTGCTGGTATAGAGCTCGATTCCTCTTTTCAGCTGCTCTGGGATATTTGCATTCTCAATTGCCCGATTCAGGCGGTTATTTCTTCTCCCCGTGAATAACCCAAGGGCGCACGGCCGAGACGCGTTGCAAATGCTGCAAGAGAGGCTGGGGCGTTTTTTTTYCCCCCTTCTCTTCTTGCAATTAATCTTTTAGATTGATTGTTGAGGCTGTTAGCCTGCGCACCAGCTCGCGTGTGACTGGCATGACAAGCACAGGGACAAATTCGCCAGGGATGCTCGTCCTCCCTTTCGCTCCCTCCGTTCCCTACGGATTATGTCCCTGCCTGGACACCCTGGGGGGTTGCTCTGGTTGAAGCTGACACGTACAATTGGCACAACAGAAGCATGAGCCGGTCCCGACCGACTCCTCCTTCGTGCTTTTACTTGCCCATCCTCTGCGAGGAGGGTCTGTCCAGCAGAACGTGGGTCCTCGGCTGTCACCGTAACCGTGTTTATCCCGTTAGCTCTCCGGCACAAGAGCTGCCCCTGTGTCTGGACAGATCCCAGCTACAGCCGAGGTCTTCCAGCTGCTAACACAGTGCAGATGAAGAGATAACGTTGCTCAAAACGCGCCTGGGATTAATGCGAGGAGTTTATGAGCGTACTTTCCACGAGGCAGGGAAAATAATTTTCGAGTTACAATCAGTTTGCAATGAGCACTCCGCCCTTCTTGGATGTTTTCGCAGAGGATCTCCCAAGTTTCTTGGCCGTCCCGAGGACTGCAGAGGGCTGCATGTGCACGCAGCTGGGTGTGGAGGAACCAAACTGGATGCTGGAGAGATCATTAAGAAGATATGGCCCTGCTTGTGCCAGCTGCAGCAGGGCAATTAAACCCATGGAAACCTGCCCATATATATATATATATATATATTTGTATACATATGACAGCTACATCACAGGAAAATCTGGTTGCAGGGGAAATGGAAGAGTCCCAGGCCTATTGCCACCATCACCCACAAAAAATAGAAGAAAGCTCCCCAGAAAGCTGTCAAATGCACTAAGCAGCTCCTTACTGTAAAACCAGTAAGCCAGTAAACTGTAGAAGTTGGTTCAAAATCTCCAATTCATCCTTCTGAGGTTGCTATTTCCCAGCCCCAACACACGACTCACCAGGGACCCGTCCTAGGAGTATTCGAGCAGCTTCAGCAAGCCTGGGAGGAATTCAGGGCTCTAGACACAGGCAGTTCTGTGCAGCGGGTTCRCACGACTACATCCCGAGGAAACAATTCCAAGGTAAGCTCAGGATGGGGAGGCCTCCCCAGGGCCCGGCCCAGTGCCTCACCGCAATGCTGTGTTGACACCACAACCAGGCTCTGGGGAGCTGCTCAGTGCTGCTTTCCACACGCAGCGTCTGCCCGTGGCTGCAGGTGCTCACAGCTCTTCAAAGTGCATCTGAAGAGAGCTCTTAAAAGAAGGGGTCAGCAAGAGCTCGGCCTGCCTGCTGCCTCRCGTGGCACTTCCTCCTTGGCAAAAAGGGACCAGGGTGGACTTGCAAGCAAGCTGGGACACTTGCTTCCTCCTTCACYCATTCTGGTAGCAAAAGCTTAATCACGAGCTGTTTCTTACAACTGACTAAAGGCAGAGCTTTCTAAAGGCAAGTGAACCCCTAAGATTCCAAGGGATGAGGAGCCCACAAAATCCTCTGYGCTCCAGCATCCAATTCCCCCCTGCAACAGTGATCTAGAGAAGCGCTGCAGCTTCTCCTGCATTTGGAAAGATCCCATTTCCAGATGCTGGATTTTACAATGCTGTTTCCCATTATTTTAAGGAGAGGGATTTGCAAGGTCTGGCCCTTAACCTTGATGTGAGGTTGCAGCTCGTAACGTCCTGTTATTGCTTTCACAGCCAAAAAGGCCAAGTTTTTCGTGCTCCTGAGATATGATTCACCACTTGCCATGCTGGGACCACTGCTGATTTACAGATACTGGACACCTCMAGAAAATAACTTGCTGCTTGAACAGCTATGCCAATGCAGCAGGATATACTAGATGCTTATCAACACATTCCTACCCCTTATAGGAAGATAAATTAGTATGTTAAAAGCCCAAAGCAATTTGCAGACATTAACTGAAGATTACAGCCCACGACATGAGTAAATCTCCTCATCTCTGGGAAAAGCAACTTTTCCCAGAGCTCCATCTTACTGAAGTTTTTCCTTCAGGCTGAAAAATCGATCATTTTAATGCCAAGTCAATGTGAGACTGAACCAATGGGGTTCTGAGCATGGGAGAAAGCAATCATGAGATACACCTACTAATTAGTGTGGAAGCCCTGATTAAGGAAGGCATCACGGTGGAATTTACATGCAGGCTACGAAAAGGGTCCTGATTTAGCGCACTGACCCTCGCCACCTCCTCACATTGGGCATTTCTGCAGCTCCGAGTATTCTGGACATATTTATGACCAGACAAAAACGCACCTCCCAGTTTAGTTCACAGCATTTTTAGGAAAAGCCAAAGAAAGGAAAGAAAAAGCAACAACATAACAACCTCCCACCCCACCACACACACACACAAGAAACCCCAGGTTGCTCTAAGAAAATGCAACAGCTGAAAGAAGAACTCATTCATTTCACTAATGGGTAACGGCTGCTCAAACAACCCATTAGTCAAATTAAGGACGATTTGTCAAATCTGTAGCAAAGGACAGCAGTGATTTCTGATCCAACGAGATGTTGTGAAATCAGGCTGCTCAGCTTGGAGGGGCTCGCAGCCCACGCGCACGAGGGAGCCGGGCCCGGGGACAAAGCTGCGCTCACCAACCTGCAAAACCAAAGGCCTCCTAAGAAGTCCCCTCCAGCCTGTGCCTCTAGGCAGGTACCCTGCAGGCAGCCCGTGCTGCTCGGAGGGTGCCTGTGTGAGCAGCCACAGCAATCACGTCGTTTTAAAGCAAATTTTCCACTTTCCAAGTTGCTTCCACTTGTCTGACGGCAGCTGGAGTCCATAGGTTTGACAGGCCTGGGCAAAGAGGGGTCTGCTCGTCTATCAAACGCCTCTATCTCCACGGCACAAGTGCTCTTTGTGAGGAAATAAACACAAACTGGGAGTTCTCTGGCTTGTCAAACAAGGAAACAAGAAGKCCCGAAGGCTTCAAAATATAAAAGCAAAAGGGAGAGTTTAAACATTCTGGATTCCCACAATTATTGGGGTTAGTTTACTGTCAGCAAAGCCAAACAAACAACTCCCTGGCTGAATCAAGGCCAAAATAAAGCAGTATATGAAAACAGCCTGGCACCACCCTGCCGTGCAAAGCCAGCCTTTCTTTCCTCCCCATGAATGRGCCAACACGTGTGCCTGAGTAAGACCCAGGTTATGCCACCAAAGGTCGTTTACAAAAAGAAGAACATCAGCTAAACTGCGGGGATGAGAGGGAGCCCAGCACAGAGCTGCAGCCCACGCCACGCTCAGACACCTCCAAACGCCCCAGCCCCACAAAGGGCTGCGTGATGATGTGCATGAACACGAGAGCAAACGAGCCTGAATAGGGCAACGTAAAGTTGGCTTAGGAACAAACTGAAAAGCTCTGTGAGCGAGAGGAGGAGGCTGCCCTGAAGGCAGCACGGCAGGTTAGCAATCAGACCACAAAGCTGGGCAAGAAGGGAGAGGTTAAGGTTTGTCTTGCAAGCAYGTGGGCCCTTTCTGCCCCGCACTGAGCCAGGGATAACGGGGCAGATGTGTGAGAAGCAAAGGAATCTGCCTGCAAAGGGTTAAGTGCAGGAAGCAGCCAGAGTCTGGCCAGACGCCAGTACCAGCCTCAAGCTGAGCTGAAGGTGGCTGACCGAGAGGCAGAGGCTGCTGTTTTCTCCAGAACCCCRGCCTGCTGTGACCCATCCCTGCAAACAGCTCCCAATGCACCAGGCAGGCCTTGCAGTGTGACAGAGACGGGCCATCTGCAAGGCCTTGCCTAACGTCCTCCAGCAAGGGTCATTTCTCTGGTTTTTAGCCCTTTTGGACTACACAAAAGGGAGTCTTTAACACAGTGTTCTCTAAGCCAGGGTAGCTTCCATGGGATCACTTTTCCACCACTAAGCTGCACACGTGCATCTGATATTTAGGGGTTCCAGCTACTGACTCACTTGATTTTAAACCGTGCAGGATATATTTGGTCAAGACAGGCTGTTCTTATTAGGACCTACATCGGATTTGCCTTTTGGTCATTACAGGAGTAGTGCAAGTTGTACCAATGAGAACCTGAGGAATCGGGGAGGCAGGGACATCAACTCACTGCGCTGTCCAGCTTCGGTGAGATCCAAGTAGGAGGCAGAGCAAGGTCCACAAAGGATCTCCAGTTAAGAGCTTGCTTCAGGAGACTGAGAGAGGGGCACAAATGAAGTTTTCCTCACTATCTCACCAACTCAGAAATCCAGCCTGGAAGATGCACTCTGGACAACATCCATCTCAAGTTGAGACACGTCTAGCGGGACCTGCATGTGTCTCAGGAGCCCACAATGTGTCAGACAAGGTGCAAAAGCGCCGCCTGACCCTCTCTGAAGAGGTTTCTGAGAGGCAAAGATTGGGCAGACACACAAGCTGATGCAAGAGGAACTTACACTCTGCTTAGTCAGGTTTTTGCTCCATCTGTGTGGTTGACAAAGAGCAGTTATCAAACAGTTGACAAAGGGACATCTAAGTTCATAGTTAGATATGACTAAGGCTATTCAGGATGTCACAGCACCATGAAGGGAAAAATCATGGATAAATGTGTAGAGCATTCACCATTATGATGCTAAAATTTCCACTAGAAAAGAGAAAAATACTTTCATGTGGCCCCTGTTGCCATAAACTCCAGGAGCTCCACTATCCTCATGTTTCTCCCTCTTTAAAGGACGCAGAAGTGTTCTTACCTCTAACTTTGCAGGTGGAGTGTGACAAAGCCGTGATGTCTTTTTTTGACGTGGACTGATGTAGGCAGAGGAATGAATCCATGGCACATTGCCTACACCTTGTCCTTAGRAGCACACCGGGAAGTCCTGTGTTAACCCATGGGCCCATGTGAAATACACTGTTTCTTGTAACAGGTATAGCCCTGGCTAAACCCCGAGACCTGGGAATCCACCGCATCCCAAGGGACAGGTCATCCTCTTGCACCAGGCTCTGCAGCCTACCTGAAACGTGCTCACGCMGGGAGAGGCGCTCTCCCCTGCCCAGTGCTGAGGCCTTCACAAGCTCTGCATAAACACGAGCTCAGGAAGGGCAAACGAAAACCACATTTCCGCAGAACTTCTCCCCAAACCAATGGGACCTCGATTCCCAGTCCTGGGAAAACAGCTGAAAGAGAGGCAAGGGGGCCAAACCCAAGGATCTAAAGGCCAGCTTTGAAGAAAGAAGGAGTGGAAACATTAGTTTGAATATGGGAATTGATCCGGGGGGAGAAAGCAGGCAAGCAGCAGAAGAGAAAAAGAGGCAGAAAGGAAATTTACTTTGGACGTGCTCCTACAAACCTAACACAAGAGACATCTCCTCTTTGCACAAACTGCTCTTCAGCYCTGCTTTAATGGCTCAAAGGTCCTCCCACAGCCCTGGCCACACAGGCAACCCTTGTCATCCGCAGCAGGGCTCTGGGGGTAGGAGGCCACGGCAGGAAGGTGAGGAAGAACAGGACACACCGAGCTGGGMGGAGAGGGAAGAGATATCCTGCACACCCATGACACCACTTGAACTCATCCGGCCTCTCAGAGGACTCGGGCGTCTGAAGGCCTCCTTGTTGGGGCAASAGGCTCCAATCCTGGAGACAAACCTGCCCCCAAACCACTAGGGCCAAAGTGGGCTCAGGAGAGGGAGCTCAGCTCCGACGCACAGCCCCGGTGCCGGGCACTGTGGGCCCGAGGAAGCGGAACAGACCAGCCCGGTCACTGGCCACTTGGCCAGCGGGGTCGCGTCGTGCGGACGGGGCAGTCTGCCAGCAGCGCCGGTGGGCCCAGAAACCTCCCCACAGCCCACAGGCAACTTCCAGTGCAGCCCGAGCTGCATTTGAACTGGTGCCCAAGCACACGAAGCTCCAAGCTTTAGCCTCAGCCCCCGCAAAAAAATTAATTCTACCACGGAGTTGCATGGAGAAAGGAAGAGAAGCCTATGGACCGATTCCCTTGGTTAGTGTTTTCTTCTGCTGCTCCATCTCCCTGCATGGGTTTTGTCCTAGACCTGCTCACTATAGCTGCTAGACCGACTTATGCTCGCAGCAAGCAACAAGAGGAGGGATGTGACACTACTCGTTCCCTTCAGGACACCACAAGGTCAAAACAAAGGGCGCAACGTTGCAACACGCAAAGGAAGCACTGCAAGAACGCCTGCGAGACCACCCAGCCCAGCACCACGCCATCCACTTCCACTCAGCCCTGCTGCACCCTTTTTTATTTATTTTATGTTTTTCCCCTGTGGAGTCCATTCAGCAATAAGTAATGAAATGAACGAAACGTCACCAGCGCCGCTGGGCCGGCCAGACGTGGGACAGTGCCGGGATGCTGCAGCTGCCCACTGGGAAGGCAGGACACATGGGATTCCCACAGGAAGCCAGCCAAGGTTCAGCCTGGGTGCTGTGCGCTCCCATGCAAATACCCACGGCCCAGGCTGGCTCCCTTCGCTGAGGCACGAGGGAAGGGAGCCGAGCCCTCCCTAGCACATTTGTTAAWTGGGGCATGCTGTAATTTTCACCTAACAACCTAACACGGCGCAAAAGCRGAGAGGGAACAGCTCAGCCCATCTGCGCCACCCTCCTACCCCCAGATCTGGCCTTCTGCCCAACCATATTGCYAGTCACTTCAGAAGATGTCCAGGAACTATGGAGGCATAAGGCATTTTGTGCATTTAACACCAACCTCATATCCTACCTTGCCAGAAAACATGGTTTTCGCTTGCTCTCCTTGGATATTTCCCTGTTTCCCCCCTATTCAGCTGTTTTCACACCAGTAGCCAATGATCTTCACAGTAGCTTGCTTATCTTCACTGCAAGACGCGCGTGACTTTCTGCACTGCAACTAGGGCCACCCCTGTCCTAGAAACCTTTGGTGTCCCAAGGAACCTCACGGGACTCTCCAYGTCCAAGCTGACCCTGTGCAAACATGGTGGCATTTGAAGGACGAATCTGCCAGCGCTTTCTGAAGAAAATTAGATCCGACCAACACCAGCCTAGAAGTTTCTGCTGGTTTCCATCTCAACACAGGAGAGAGCAGTGTCAATCAAAATGCATGAGAGAAGCAGGCTGCTAACGTCAAGCAAGTCTCTTCACCTTTTGTTTCTTCCTCCCTATGGGATATCTACATTTATAAGGAAGGAAACACAAACCAAGGGATACCCTGGCGCTTCCATACGGACTTGAATCCACAAAGTCTCGYATGTGACTGTGTCAGAAGAGGGGGAGACACGCACACAAAAGGGAACCATGCTGGCATTTCAGGGCGACCTTTTTAGCTCTGGCAGGAAGGTCAGAGCCTCAACAGAGAGCTGTGGCACAATGAGCTGCCAAAGCTAAATATAAACCAGCACGGACACAGGAGTTTGTTTTTACAGTGAGCCAAGAGACAATCAACATTGTGCCACTTCCCTGCTCAAAATAATTCACAGCTTTATCGTTGCTGACAGTCTTTGTATTTTATTACAGAGGCAGAGCCTGTCTTACGCCCATTTGCCAGCCTAAGTCAGTGGAAACGATTAACAAGGAATGGGAAACACTCAAACCTTCTCATTTCTATTGTACCAGTCTCAGAACATCTATTATCTTCATTAYCCATGATGGGGCCACATAATTAGGGAACCACTTATCTAGGTGCCTCACACACACATTACCCTTAACGTTAATTTAACTACTATAAATACTGTTGCCAAATTTTCCGTGTGGCAAAAATTGTTTTTTTTTCTTAAGCTCAGGTCATGTGTTGACACTTCTATACACTTCATTCACAAATACCAGGATTTGGGTCACAAACTGTTTCGGCCTGCTTGCTCACAGAAGAAAGAAACAACAAAAAATCCCTGTCTTTTACCTGGTACTATCTCTACAATAGGGCTCAACTCAAAGGTATCAAGACTTTCACTGAGATTTTTTAGAGAAATAGCAGCTTTGGGGAAAAAAAAAAAACACTGAGAAGTTACGACCAAGGAAAAGAGAACATGCAAGCAGAAAATGATGAAGCTTGAAAGAAAATAAACTACAGTCCCAAACAATAGCTGGGAAATTACTCCTGCTAAAATACAGTATGCTATTTTTAATCACAACGATAAGAAAAAAGAAAAACACGGTGTCATGCCAGTAACACATCTGATAGTTTGCTGCCCAAGAAGATTTGCATGGCTGGTATTTAACTTGGTATTTCTAGCTACGTTAGAGCAGAGAAATGGTTTCCTTACTCTCGAGCATGTACTTCTTGGCAATAGGCAGGGAGAGCAGGCGGATGTGAGCGACGAGGGAGCCCCAGGCGTGGGCTCTGGTGAGCGGCGCTTCGGCTGGCAACGGGCTGTACGGCTGGATCACGAAGTAAACGGTGAGCAAGAGCAGCCCCAGCRTGAGCAAGGCCTGTAAGGAGAGAGGCATGCGGTTAACGACGCTGCATGGCCCTTCAGAACAGCACCCACCTTCCAGCAGATGAGTCAATACTTATATTGKAGCCCTGCTAAAAAAGCTGGCACCAGGGCAAGGAGGAACATCCACAGACAGTTCTTGATTCCTCCTGCCTAAACCAAAAAGCCTGTGCTCCCACCAGAGCCCTTGCAAAATGTTTTAGGGGTATTTTGCAGAAATCGGTCAAGCTTCAAAACGCTTTGGCAGAGTTGGCACCAATTCCCTCCTTCACACTAGGCTTTGAATAAGCTTTAAAGGGATGATATGACACATTTTTTCCCCCCTGGTCAAAGTCAAAATGAATCAATGTCAAAAACAAGAAAAAGAAACTCCAAGAAACCGGATGTTCCAATTACCAGTTTCCTGATCTCCTTGCCTTATTATAGAGCATTTATAGGATAGGAAAAAAAGATATCTGGATTTCTTCTCTAAATAGAAACTATTTTAATGACTGAGCTATAAAGAACATTACCAAATGTTATCGTAACATTTTCACTCTGTAGCAAATATCTCCAAATCACCTAGCAAAACAGCATCCTTTTAATTGCTTGGTAATACTGTGTATAGTATCTTGGAAGTTAATGTTCTCAAAACATTTTTCCATCATCAAATTTCTTGGCAATAGGTCCATTTTACAGAGTAGGGGTAGAATGAATACAGGTAGAAGCCTGTGAAAGGATCAGAAGCAGAACTTCGAACTCTCCATTACCCCACCCTGAACTTTAAGACTCTCCTTCCTTCCTCACTTTTCTGCTAAAGGTGCTGACACTGGAAATCTTTGCCTGTAGAATCAATCCAAAGACTTCATTGTTTAATAACTTAAGGAGCGGGAAGTGTTGACRTGTTCAACTTTCAACACACATATGAAATTCCAAGCCGCCGTCAGCCTTCCTTCTGTTTGCAAACCAACTCATGGAAGGAAGGAGGCAAGCTGCACTTAATGGCTTTTTATAAGTACAATTCAGAAGAATTCATCAAGAAAATGCAACAGGAAATAAAASGCTCAGGTGCAAAAGAAGATCTTCAGGCTCTCAAACGGTTCCTGCATGCACAAAGATGTCTTACCTTGTAGAGAACTGCTAAGACAGGGTACCGTGGAGGTCCTCTTTGGGGTTCATTTCTTTCCAAGAGCTGCTTGACAAATTTCTCAATGGCTTTTTCTGACATCCCACACTGGTGGCCAGTCTGCCGCACCAGATCTATCGTCTCGGAGAGCTTGTCATAAATGCTGAGTTCACTGGTCGTAAGCTCCATGGCCGCTGATGGAAGAGCCCTGCAGAGAGACAATAACATCAATAGAAAGCCCACCCCAGCCACGCTGCTCCACACCAACACATGCAAGAAGATCGCAGGAACGTCCTGCTGCCTATGTGAGGCAAAACACTTCTCTGGAGCAAACCTGTCTGCAGCCAAGACACAAGTTAGCTGAGCCCTAAACAGCCCCCGCTGGTTCAGTATCTCCCAAGGACCAAAAGAAGCCAAAAAATTAACCGATTGAGAGCCTCAGCTCATGTAAGCTTCCCCAAAAATCAACGAATCTCTATTTCTTCACTTATTCCTTACGAGCATGAACCACAATGTGGTTCCTCACCAAGTACAAGAGCCAGCAGTGCACAACTGAGCGACACACACAGCAGCCAGGCCGAGCGTTCCCGCACTAYAAATCCCAGTCGCTTCCTTTAACACAGTTTTTTTCCTGATTAAATCCCCTGTTAACGATAAGAACAGGAGAGAAACAAGCAGTATGTGTGGGGCAAAGTTTAAGATTTTACAATATATTTATGTTTACGCAATGAAATGTCCAGGCCAACTGATTATTGAGCAACAATAATGTGATAGTGGCATGGTCCGCAGGCAGCCCAAGGTCTTAGGGTGAAGTTCCTCCCAAAATTTGCCTTCAGGTCATTCACGTTCAGGAACGCCATGTGACCAAGCACTGCAGGAAAAAATTGCATTGCTATCCAGAGACAAAACAGCACCTGATACCAATTTATTTCCCACCTTGAAATTCCGACAGGGACACTTGCAAGAACACACCTAAGGAGCCAACAATGTCAAGATGCCGTCAAGCAAACGTTGTTCCTCCCGCACTCCCCCTGTCTGTCACCAAGGCAGAAGCTGCAATATCAAGAACAGCAGCTGGGCTGAAGAGCAGACAGAAGGAAGGGTCTGGAGAAGCTAAAAACTGGAAATAAGAAAATGCCATTGTAAGGGATGTTCACCCTTGGCAAAATGCTACCYGGGGAAAGAGAGCACCTGTGAGCTCTCATATTGCCTCTATTTCTGAGCCGGGAAAACTCTAACCTGGATCGAAGTGGAAACGTAAAAACCCAAGATATGTGACAACTTTTCCACAGCACCACTGGTTTCAGCAATCACTCCCTTTTCCCCATCTGCACTCCCCCTTCTGCTCCTCCAGCGTCAACTCCCTGTTCTGCTCTTGMGCGTTTGTCTTTGTGGTCACACAGGGAATCAGATCAGGAAAATTATCTGGCTGGAAAATAACTCTTATTTGTTTAGGCAGCAACTGCTGAAGCGTCCGGCTCAAGCAGCTCGTGTCAGATGTTACGTTGCCATCAGTGTCAAATATCTAACCGCAGCTGTAGAAACACCAAAACAGTCAATTGTCAAATTAAAACCTAACCCCGAGCACCCAGCAAGAACACGCTGCACTACATCACCCCGTTAATTAGTTTCTGGTCCCGCTCTTCCACCGTTCCTCACACTTGCTGCAAAGCTTTGTCCCAGATCTTACCACCTGAACAGACTTAAGGGCTAGTGAGCTGTCCAAAGGCAGGTTTGATCAATACCTTGTTATGGATTGCAGGTTGCTTTATCAACTCCTGCATTTACGAAACAGCCTAACTCATAAAATAGGCAACAGCCGGCACATCTGCAGGATACTAAATGCCTTCTTCTTCTTCCTTTTTTCCAGCTTTTCTGATTACTCTAGTTGTCTTGACACTGCCAGACCAGTACAGTAAATGGTCTAAAGGGTAATCTCGCTTCCTCCAGWTCCCATGGGCCAAAGTTCACGCTCATGAACCTCTCCCATACAGAAYTGCAGCGGATTCAGCAAGCTCCCTGGCTTGAGACACTTGCAGGATCTGCCTCAAACTTCTTAGAGCAGTTATCCCTACAGAAATGCCGTCAGACAAGGCAGCTTCCCCTTTTCCAAGCAGCAGAAGCTCCAGAGCTGCCTCTTCCTTCTCCCCACCTCGCGTTCAGCTCCGTGCAGGCGCCTTCGACAAGAAGCCCTGCGAATCACAGGCACGCATGAGAGAAAACACGGCCGTTCCTCAACAAATTCAGCCATGCCCTTGGCCAGGAACTAAAGTGTTTGCCGAATAAATTGTTTTGAACACAGACGAGGCCTTAAAAAACCCCACAGTCCCTCACTTCTCTCCCTATCAGCCCAACACAAGATAACGCGGGCTGCCAATTCTCTCCGCTTTCACGCAGCCACATGTCACAAACGGGCCGCTTAAGGTGAACGGCCGCGCGTTTAGCGCTATTTTTCAYGAACTGGAGTGCACGAGCACCTTGGGACGGGCCCCGAGGTTGTGGAAAAGCTGGATATTTGTAGGGAAATGCCCAAAGAGGAGGCATTTGGGCGTGGGGGGTGATCTGGTTGGCCTTGCTGCCGGGCTGTCAAACGTGGGAGAGCGGTAGGAAAAATAAATAACAAGTGAAAGGCTCTTGGGGCAGCTGTGGCGCTGCGGGCTCGGTGACGGCGGTGACGGCGGCAGGTCGCGGCCCCGCCGTGTCCCAGCCGGGCCCAGGGAACAGGCCCGACTCAGCACGGAGCTGCAAAACCCTCCGGAAAGGGGGCAAAACCCCCAMCCCCCCTCGTGCATTTCCATGCTGGCCGGTCAGAAATGCCCCAAAAGGGGGTACTCCCCCACAAAAAATAATCATTATCCCTGAAAAGCTGCATATTCCCTCAAAACGTGGGTGCGCCCCAAACCACTGTGCCTCTCCCAAACGTGCCCTCCCCCAAAACGGGGTGCCCCCCCCCAAACCCCGGTACCTTCCCCTAACCGTGGGGTCCCTCCAAACCTCGATACCCTCCCCCAAATAGAGGCACCCCCCCCTCCCGGCGAGGAGCCGCCGCCGCCGCCCGGGCCCGGCAG